TCAACGTCGTTTGGCCCGCCTGTGGAGCGGTTCACCGGGGTGTGGGCGCTGTTGCATCCAAGCTACTTCTTGGAGCCACAGGTTAGAGCTGAGCACCCGGTGGAGGCCAAAGAAGGGGGGGCTGCCCCAAAGAGGCCGACAGCCCTCCGGGCAGAGGTACTACTCCTGCCGGGTAACCCATACAGCCTTAGGTTATGGGCGTCCCCCTCATCGCTGACTGTCATATTTTACTGTAAATAGCTGCAGTAACCACGTGGCTCACATCCTTCGCTTGTGTTACATTATATTAATATTTTCACATACGCCTGAATCTATACTGTGTGCCAAACAAATCATGGTAGAATAATCGTTGTGAAAGAGAAAGACGTTCCATGGTTTGTGTGTGAGCGGCATACTGCCAGGTTGCCCAGGCCAAGGCACGTGAATTTTCTTGAGGAATCCACAACTGGAGATTTGGCTAGCCAAAGCCTGACCCGCAAAGCAGCGGGTTGGTGTGCGAAAACCACAGTCCATTCGCGGCCGGTGTTCAGTTCATCGGATCATTCACCCTTTGGACGGGGTCAAACGTCCAAGGTGCCCAATACACCTCGATGCCCAATCGAGCCGGTGACCACTGCCACAACCGGGAAGGTGTGTGGTTCGTACGCTTGAGCAGTGAATTCTGGATTACTGATTGAAAGTTTTCAGACGCCAATATTCTATCATAAAATAGACGATTTCATAAAAAGTTATACTGAAAAATATCACAGGAATTACCATCGCCTCAAAATAGTACGATGCTCGTTAGCTATTTATAAACTGAAATTTTTAAGCAACTGAAATTTCTCAAAATGCAGTTATCTTTTGCAAGGAAAACATCTTCGGTTGGGAAATTAGCTGTATTTTAAAGAATCCCATTCGAGGAGATACAAGAACTATCGGTTAAAAAATTATTTATCACCTCTACGTCATAGATGCGTACAATCACATAGGCTATGCACTGGCCATTAATTATAATCAGTGGGAAAACAGAGTTGAAATCAAATGGCAATGCTCTATTTTTTTAATAAAGGTATATGAATGCTTGAAAAATTCACTGCGTTCAGCTCAAGGACAACGTTTGAAATGGAAGGAGTACAGTATTTTTTTGAACCTCAGACCACATGGTCCAAAGCACACCGGTGACAGCGACTAAACCACTTAGTTAATTATACAACCAAATCATGAATTCATCAAAAATACCAAATTTGTTCCTTTTTGAAAAGGATTCATAGAAAAAAGAAAATAGAGCGTTCGTTGATATATCTAGGAAAACGTTTAGAATCATTAATGATGAAACATAATGAAACGAACTCTATTACTGCATGATTTTCAGAAATTAAAAACTGTTCTCGATCTTGTGAACCTGAAAATCAACCATTCTAATCACCCAGCATGTGGATTGTAACCTCAAACGTGGGCGTTGAAAAAGCCCTACTTAAAAAATGCTACTTGCACAACTGCTCCATCATTGGTCAAGCGGATGATAAAATTATCCTGGGGGTCTCACCCCTTGACCTTCAAGGTAACCGTGAAAATAAATTTGAAATGATGGAATGGTGCAGAAAACTACGAAAATCTATCAGTCCTATTTGCAATAGACCAACATGCTGCTCATGAACGGGTACTTCTGGAGAAGCTGGAAAACGCATGGCAAAATGCAATGAATAACTGGAATAAGTTTACCAATAAATGCGTTCTACAAGCCGTTCCTGTTTCTCACACCAGCTTTAATCTCACTGACAAGAAGATGATAGAATTTCTGAAGAAAGATAGTCTATCGGCTGTCTCTTGGAGTCAAGCGTTTGGATTTGAGTATAGGTTGAAAAAAGAAAAACGAACTCTTCAAACGAAGCTCACATTAACTAAAGCACCTAACTTGTTTGCCAGCGGCTACATTCTCAACGAAGAAGCGAAACATGATGTTCTTTTATTTCTAAAGATTCTCAGTGAAAATTCTAATTTAGAAACCAAAGTTGTATTTGAAAAACTGAAGTAAGTTTGCATACGGTAGCTCCTTCTGCATGTTTGTGGTTGAAAAGAGTATAAAGTTACAAAGGAGTGCACCTGGTGGTGTGATTTCTGTTACTGCACTTTCTCTACCGGTACCCACTGGGTCGCACTGCCCCTCGGTACATTCCATGTATCCTAAAAACAAAATCCTTCAAAAAGAACCAGTGACCTGGTTTTCATATCGCCTATAACCAGCCTCAGCAATCAGACCGTCGGTTTTTCGATTATGGGATCAGCCCCTTCTGCTACACTTCACTTTTTATCGTCAAATATAAAATGGTAATAATTCTCAATGACTAAAGCGAAAACCAGGACAATAGCAAAATGGATTTCTTTAAGTGTTCCACGAACGACCGGGGAGGGGAAAAGCTGAATAATGTAACTGACTAGCGTAAGCCAACTCATAAAATATAGAGTGAACTCGTAGCGCTGCCAACTAATCAATCCGTTGAAACGCCTCTTTGCACTACAGGAAACTAAACCACCAGAAACTAGTTCGTCCATATTTTCACTGAAAAATCGGTTCTAAAGTCAGTAACCTTTGAAATTAACGTAAGCCTATCTGAGAGAACAAAATAGATCCGTTTGAAAACGGCCTTTCGTCCGGATGAGTTTCTTGCTTTCGGTACAGCCAATTTTAATGACCAACATGTATCTTATGTATACTTTATTTTCACAAGGCATCGAATAAGGAAGGGACCGCTGGAATATTATACACTTGATAAACCATAGACAGCAGAGTTTCGGAAAACCCATACTGACGGTATAATCACGTCGCGACATCAATCCGGGAGATGTCCGCGCAATTTATTCATTCGCTTTTAGGTTTCGGTCTGCATGATCACGTCTTTCAGTCCTACTCCAAATTCAAAGAGCTATCAGATTTAATTGCATCCTCAACATTAGTTCACATGCAGCGATCCCAATCAAGTCAAAATCGACGCAGTTTAAATTTACTTAAGCTCCCATATTCAGCTAACTTGCATCCATTTCGCATGTGCATAACTCGCGATACTACACTTACTAGTTTTTAGGTTTTTAATTGATAAACCAGCAGCAGGTGAGTCGGGAGTTTCAAGACGGATTAGTAATTGAATGGGCTTCTTTTTTTCAGATCGGTGGCCTACAATTTCCTACAAACGAAAGCATGCCGATCGGCCATTCGTTTCGGGGATCACCTTACACGCGAGGAAATGCGAGCACTTGTCCAAGATCTATCCAATTGTCGGCTGCCTTTCCAATGCGCACATGGGCGTCCTACATGCATTCCAATCACCTTGTTACACTAGACGATGTATTTCTGGTGATTTCAACAGCTACTGATAAATCACACTGATTTGGCGTCTCAAGGATGCATAGGAGAGTTGTTATAAATAGTTTCATTGATAAATTTTTTCTCTAACTATTTAGCTTTCTTACAAGCAACGTGGCCCAATTTCGAATCAAAATAGAATGCCACCCGGTTTCGGCTGGTGCTAAAACGTTGGGAGACTGTGAAAGTTTCATACGGATGATACCTGTTGTAACAAACAGAAAAGTTAAATAAAAACCGCGGCTCAGATGTTACAGTTTCTTCCGTGTATCTCAATTTTGAAACGATTCTATTTCAAACCTCATTTAGCAAGTTTAACGAATTCGGCTTGAGCAGCATACGTTCGATTTCATCAGTTCTGTAAAGAGTATGAGTTTGACCATAGAAAGATATCGTTTTCCGATATAAATACTTATGGACCATAATACTAATCCCAGATGACGGAATCTCGGCTAGCCCATCAAGTCAGACAGCTGAAGTGAAATCTCTGCAGTCGATCAAGATATAACCTGCTGAAGTAGCATTTTTACTTCTGTTACTCTAAAGTCACGAAGATCAATACATCAATACAGAAGGTAAAGGAACTCCCAAACTGTCTCCAGTGGTTTAATAGCCTGCTAATGGTAGCTTCGGGGATTCCGATGAAAGGTGAGGAAGGAGACACTGCAATTACAATTAACCCATGGTATAGCGCTCGAATGAACTAACACCATAATGAAGGAAAACAAAAAGGGTTTCGTCTATGCCGTCGGCAATAATTTTCCTTGGAAACTAGGCCACAATATTTCAGATGCAGAAATATGAGGACAGTTGTGATTCATTCGGACTGTACATGCATCAACCTGACACCCCCGTTTCGGGCGTTAATCTCTAGCTGTCACTTGAATGAGAAACTGAGTGCAGTAAAAACGCGAAATGCAGACAAACGAGATGTGACTGATTAATTAGGCTGATCATATGATACTGAATAGAGAAGCTCAATGCGACCCAAATAATGACAATCGGCTATCAAAAAGCTATTCGTATATATGATCAGTTTGAATTCCTTTGCACAAAGATAACACGAGCAAGGTGAGGTTTCAATTTTTTGGAAGTATGGTGAAAAGTTGATCCATGGAAGACTACAAGGCTTATTTGCGTGACTTCAATCGGAGCTTTTGTTGGGAACTGTCAACACAGAAACTCAGTATGCGATAAACTGGGATTTCGGTTACCATTAGATTGAATTCCGTGCCTTTTAAACAGGGTTCGTATAAGCCCGGCAAACCAGAGGTAATGACAAAAATAATATCATCAGCGCTAGTTAGAACCCGTTTGTAAAAATCAAAACATCACGTGTGAAAAGCGTATTTTTACTCACTGCTCTTTCTCAGGTACAAACAGTCTGTATGAATATTTATTCACAGGGTTCAAAGTGGAAAGCCTTATTTTGACGTTTTATCGACCTTTCTAAACTCATGAAGGAATTTTCTCCAAACAGTCGGAGTAAAGATGACAGAAACATGTAGACGTTCAGCATCATCCGGAGCTGCGACGACATTTGTTACCATGGAATTGGTATAAAGCCAGCTGAAAAGCGAAAAGTCACATAATGAAGGAGATTAGATTCAAGTATACACGCATGATAGCAGTGCAGATTCATAGAATTGTACACAAGGCTAAAACACTTGATAAACAATCGCCATCCTTTTTTGAGCGATTTCGTTTTGCTTGTTCTCTGTAGGAGTGAACTTCGGAAAATGAAGAACTATTCCAATAAAACCCAAATGAACTGCTGAAACGAGAAGGAGCACAACCGAGAGCGACCAAACGCATCTCCACGTGGCGAACAGATGAACGTTCCGAGAATAAGAGAGTTTGGTTTTACCAATAAGCGGTCACCGACGATCAATGGCAGTTTCAGTATGTGCAAGCACATCGTCTGATTGGCAATCTGAATACGACCCCACCCCACCCCCCACGTCTGATGACAACACTGCGACTTGCGTGAGTTTAGCCCGCCACTCAGGAAGACTAAAATCCTTTGCTCCACCACTGGACAAATTGCAAGGTGTTAGGATCGTGAGTCGAACTATTGCTACTGGTCCTTCCAGTTTAACATCAAAACAATGAATATCTTGGACTACTGAACAATCTGAAACGCGTATGAAATGCCGGCTACCAACAACCAAACCTCGTTATCCACGCACAAGAAAAGAAAAACTTCTGTAAACCACATGACATGAAGTTTGACAAAGAAAGAATACCAGTGACGACTGTGACGAATATCATACCCGGTGAGTTCAGCAAAACCAGTGTCGAAAACCCGGACTCCCACTCCAGGATCTTTCGGAATGAACACACCCTAATAACAAGCTTGCCTAATACACCTTTCGAGAGCAGCACCAAAAACACATGGAATTGAGAACCAGTAGCGGATCTGTGAACACAGAGATAATCCATCTAAAGGACGTATGTCCGTGTTCCAATATTCAGCACGCATGCATCGGTCTCTTGTAGACGATTATACAACCACGCCACGCCTAGTCTCTAGAAGCTCTCTGTGTTAACGCAGCCTTCACCCACACAGATAGATGACCATAAAGTAACGAAAGGGTAGTCGGAATCCAAAACGTCAAACTCAACGTTAATAGTAAAAGAAATGAAGACCAGACCAACAGTTGGCATCGACAAAAGTGGCAATTACCATCTTGTAAAACGCGAACGAGTGAATACCCATTGGTGGAAGGATTGTTGTAACGTTAAACTTCTCAAACTGAATCGGACCCAGTTGTCAGGTTATCGACACATTAATTCATGTTGTAATTGTAATGCACGTTCTCTCAAACAGCTTGACACTTGTCGAAGCATCCCTCCAGATAATGACTACAACAAAGTTCGCAGGACTCTCAGTGCTGAACTGAAACGGTTCCCAAAAGAGGATCGAGAGAACAGGTGGGCACAACGCGCTCCCGAGGTGAAACTAGCCTCTGCTTCCGGCAATGCTCACAAACTTGTTCGACTAATCCGAGCCCAAGGTAACAAAAAGCCATGCATCAGTGAAAGCATACGTGAAAATAATGGCGAAAGTATTCACAATCTACTACTTCGGCTTGGGCGGAGCACTTTCATCACCAATTCAGTTCACTATCGGTATAATCATCAACATCTCTTGATGTACGCAGTGTTCCATGGTTTGCGGACATTTCATCGCTTTCCGGAGAAGTCTCTTGAGAGCTCAGACTTCTGAAACGCCACAAATCACCCGACTCAGATGAGCTCCTTCCGGTCGTTTTCAAATACGGTGGTACAAGCTTTGCAGAGACTTAACTTCTTTATTCCAAACCATCTGGAATACTGAATTCATTCCATCCGAATGAGTTTGGCGGACGTCGTACTACGATTGCTCCAATCACCGAGGGAATATATGTACCATCTTCATTGCACCCAAGGTGTTAACATCGCTGATCCTTCGCAGGCGAAGAACAAGCTGGATTCCGCTCCGGCCGGAGCTGCGTTGATCACATATTTACATTACGTCAGGTTATCGAGCAACGGCGAACATTCAGTAGATCGATCATCGTTGTCTTTGTGGACATACATGCTGTGTTGGACTCAGATGACAGAGCAGCTCGATGGATTTACCTGTTAGGAAGCGGTGTGCCCGAGAAGTACGTCAACCTCCTCAAAGCCGTCTACTCAAAAACATCAGGCCGCGTCAAGTTCTATGATCGCATCTCCCCTTACTTTACCATTACAAGCGGAGTCCGACAAGGGGGCCCGGCAACGCCCTTCCTTCTTAATTTCGCAATAGACAAAATCCTAAGCAGCGCTCTAGAAAACTGTAGAGTTTCCGGTGTGGAGCTTCTCCCAGATGATCCGCTCCGTGACTTGGAATACACTGACGACATCGTAATACTCTGCGACTCCTCCCAATACGCTCAAAACCTCCTGTGTAAGTTGACATCGCATATCACGCAGTTTGGTGTACCTGGTAAGAGGCTACACCCGTCCTCACGTTCATGAGCGACCAGTTCGAAATTGTCGATCACTTTATTTATCTCGGGAGTTGTTTCAGCTCCAGAGGACTGACGGAAGAAATATCAGCGTGTATTAGCAAGGCTTGAGTGGTTTTCGCTAAGCTACGTCACTTGTAAATCAAATCGCAGGAATTGAGATAACACGGATGGGGTGAAAACTCTACTTGCTCATTTAAGAACAAAGAATAGAAATCCTCTAAATACCAACAGTCATACTAACTTTCAGGATAAATCTAATTGGAGATAGATCAGAGACCAACATTTAAACGAAAAGCACACAATACACTCGAAAACCTCCACAGATGACAACCCAAAAAATGTATGAATTCCATTTGACCGATAAAGACAGTTGGAATGCAGAAAGAAGCTTGCCGTCTATAGTGTTTGGTTGTTATTGTTGAAACCATGGTCAGAAACATAAGAGCCTACGACGTGATTCTCAAAATGGTTAAGCATCATCTAAGAACACGAGCGCTCTTTGTGTCATCAGCCCACAAATCACGAATAAACGAAAGGATCGCCGTCAACTTGCTCAACATACCTTAGGGCTGTGCTGCTTTGACTGAGGGCCACGGTGCGGCGACACCAGCCCCGGAATTTCACGAGCTCCATTTCAATTCGCTTAGCGAGTTCGTGCAACCCTGTGCCTTGTTTTGTTGAAATAACAACATCCAACAGGCGTCGGTTGGTTTCGGTCAAGTACGTTAGTCTGAAAAGAAACGAACGCATTTCCATTCACTAATTATAACCCCAGGAGGCTCGACACAAGAAGATGTGTATCATAAAACCCAGAATAATAAAATTTGTTTGAAAGCAGGCAAATCGTTTGGAGAAGTAGATTGAGAGTGATGGACTACTGGATGAAAAATAACAGTTTCTTTTCGAAGTTGAATTTAAAAAAAATTTCCCGATGAAAAGGTGATAATCCTTTTCCATTAGGCTAAAAAAAGTTTCAGATATCGCATTTCGATCAGGCAGTGGATGGATTTCTCGTGGTAGGTTTAGGGAGAGAGGCTGAAGTACATGGACAAACTGGATGAACACAGGACGATACACTTACCCCCTGTCCACCTTGTTACCTATATGAAGTACAGGCAATTGAGTTTTTGCACGTGCTGGGGAAGGTGTCGTAGCCGAGGCAGATGGGGAAACATTGTCGGGAGCTGGAGAAATATCAATACCAGCCTGAGACAGCTCTCCATCTACATGTGCAACTCGATGTTCCCAGCCCGGTTCGCTGATATCCACCAAATGTAAAATGAGATCCTAAAAATAAAAAACAGGGCTAACAAAAAGGACAAACGACAATCGCTTTCACTACCGACAAACACGTTTGAGTCACATACCGTATCAAGACATTCATCCAATGTGGAACGAAAGGCAGCAATCAAGGACGTTGGTAAGTCCTCCATAAAACCGATTGTATCCAACAGCAGGAGCTGTATTCCCGGTATTCCCATTTTTTTCCCTTGTGTAATAGCCTTGTTTTCCGTTCCTGGTTCCGTCAAGTTCATGGAAAGACGTGTTCGATGGTGCGTGATATCAAGTGTTGCAAAAACTCTTGGGGACGCAACCAGCTCAGCATTGCCGGTCAGACTGCGAATAAGACTTGTCTTACCTTTCGAAATAAGAAAAGATTTAAACGAAGCATGATTTTGTGATTGTCTCAGCTTTGTCTGTTTTATGAAGCGAACAGACAAAGAGAACAATTTAATCTTCGTAGAAAATAGAAAATTGTCAAGCAACGTGAACAAAGAACTAATACGCTTGGTGATTTCAGCGTAATTAGGATTTACTAATCATAATTAATTAACTTAGAGACTGATGATGAAATCCGTTTTGCAGGTTATGTTGCCACGCCTAGTCAAGTGAAGGATCTTTATCGTTCCTTTTATGATAGGAACCATTTTCAGAAAAGAGGAGGCAGTTAATCAAAGTGCTGTCCTGTATTATGCAGAAAATAGGGTAAGTTGGGAAGCGGTGGTGAGATTCTAATCCATGTCAACGGGGTGAACACTTGGTGACCACGACCGCTTGACGACAGTCTTTTATTTCTCTTAAGCAACAATGTGAAAACATTATAGTCTTTGGTAGACCTACCAAGCATCAACAGCACAACAAATCGAAACGAATTTAAACCAAAGTGAGATGAAAGATATACTAACAGACAATACAGTAGAATGTTTGTTAATTGCTTAGTGTATTGGTATGTCGATTGTGAAAAGTTCAGTAGTCTCGGTGGGATTCAAACCCACCAAATAACAATTAGAGTGTATTTGATGACAAAAGAGCACCGGTGCCTCGGGTCATTAACAACCACGGCTGGTAACCCCTGCCAGAAACAAGCAACACCGTTAACAGTATGAGACCGAAACTATTCAACAGCGGCCGTGTAGGATTCATTCATACTGATAACAGTTAATAGTTCGATCATTGCATATATGGAAAAATATCTCCTGGAGCGGGTGTACGGAAAACTTTGGGGTTTCGAGCTCATCCTGCGTCAAAGCAGGCACGAGCCACAGAACAAACAAACCTGCATTGGTGTAGCCAACTACCGTAACTGTTGGAAGTTGATGTTCCTGCCTTTCCCGTCGCTGTTTCCTCATTATATTTCGTCGTTTTTCAATTTTGTTCAACTCATCCATGAGATGAGATTCCCTTAGCTAAAACCAAAAGAGAAAAATTTGGATATTTATGAATCTTAGAAAAAGAATATCAAACTTGAAAAGCAAAATTATCCGTCAAGGTAGACGGCAGTCTATGTAAGTTCTACGTGTATTTGCTTCCATTTTATCAAACACATTCATTCATATACTAAGACATTGACGATTTTTGAATATATATATCACCGCCTTAGGTCTAAGCTTGTTACCAACGCAAAAAAAGAGTAACAGAACATGGGAGGTTGGGATAAAAGGAGAGTAAAAGGGTCCAAACAGTTAAGGCGAATAACAAGAATAATAACGTTGTTTGTTTCGCCTTACACTTTTTACATTCTGTTGTGTTTTAGTATATTGTTATTTTTATGGGATACAGGATTTAAAGCGTACAGCATTTGCGTCTCTGACTGGGCCATGTATCTCAGCATTTCTAACCAACGACAATCCTCATACCCTGGGCCTTAACCTGAAAGGCGGATGTACCAACCGAAGCGAAAGCAGAAGCTTCTAAGCCATAAGCAGTACGTGACCAAGCCATCGGAGGCGGTGTAGAGCGATTGCTTCTGTCAAGAGAGAGATTATCCACCACCAACACACAATGACGAACCTCATCATTGTTCACCCGATGTTCCCACCAGACACGAGCAATGCTTCAGAGACATCGATGGCCAAATGCAGAAAGTCGATTAGCATCTTCAACGCAGATGGGCCAGGTCTCGCAATCGTAAAGTCAAACACGACGGATCGCGACGATGTACATCCTTCTTTTAAGAAACAAACGAATGTCATGGCAGCGAAACAAGTGTCAGAGGACAGTAAAATCTGCTATACCTTTCGTTATCTCCCTAACACCACAATCAGTTGGGATCAAGCTCTCGAGGAACTCAAAGCTCTCAACTACTTCTAGCTGATCACCACAGAGTGAGTGCTGGAACATGCTCCTGCCAGTCTTGAACAAGCACTTTGCATCTGAACGGTGCAAAGCAAACACCATACCTGGATACCTCAGTTGCCAAGCGGCTCAAAGCGTCTTGGACTGCCTCTGTGTGGTCACAGCAAAGCGATGTCATTGGCATATTCTGAGTCAAGGACTGTGTTCCCTGGGAGGATTTCAACTCAACTGTTTGCTACACCGGACAAAGCATACTGTAGAACATCCTCTATGACAAAGTTGAAAAGGAGTGTGGATACAGGGCAACCTCCACTGGAGACCGCAAAGGGTGGCGAAAGCTGATCGCAGGCCCCAATCCGACCTAAGATATGACGATACAAATCGTTGAAGATCGACACATACTTTTCAGGTACTTCATTCTCCAACAGTTTTATAGTGTGGTTCTATCGACAGAGTCAAAGACCGCCCAGACGTCTGAGAACACAATGGTCGTTGAACTTTGATAGGTATGACGATGCTCTATAAACCGTCCAAGGTTGAACATTTGATCGATGCATTCAAAAGCGGTGCGAGACCCAGCCTGCACCCGAAGGTTCTGCTATTCGCGTGTCTTGTAAAACCGGCAGACAATGACGGACGCCAACAGATTTGAGGCTATCGATATCAGGCCTATACCCCTATGATTGACGCAGTCACTGCGCAGGCCCTTTGTGAAGATCAGGACGAAAATCGATTACCCTCACGAAGAGGGACCTGCTCAGTGTTCCAAACTGCAAAGAAGAGAACCTGTAGTTCTCTAACAAGCGTTATTCCATCATCCTTAAATAGAGCAGGGGGAAGGCCATCGGAGCCAGGCGCTTTGTGACGTCCCAAGGCTTGGGTCTCCTTACGGATTTCTGCTTCAGAAGGCTGGTCTGTTGAGACAAACCATGGGACGTGTGCCGGAATAGCTGTGTGAGAAGCTGACGCTGGTGGCCAGCTAAACTGTGCTTTGAAGTGCTCCGCCCAGCGTGCAAGACGTTATTGTTGATTAGGAATGGGTGAGCCGTCGGCTTCATAGATCGTTTTGCTCACACCCAAAGCTTTCCCCGTTTTCCGTGCGACAAGAATCTAGTCCTCAGGGACCTCCCAGGTGTGCCTCGCTCGAAATCAGCCGGCCTACTCTTGTATTCGTATCTGTTAAAATCACGATGCCAGCCTGGTCCGTTTTACGATAGAGATGGTGTAGTTTTTGGTAAAATTCATCTTTGACTACATCTGGGCTGCAGTCCGTTGGAGCGTAAGCCGATACGACAAAAAAGTTTTGTCCATCCGGTAACGACTGCTTACTTTGCACGAGGCTCTGAGTTTCACTGCGCACAACCTACTGTCGACTGGGATCCACTGTGTGTGCGGCTTCAGCTACCCCACTGAGAGCCACGCCAACGTCAATAAGACCGGAAGCCGCAGCCTCAGGGTCCGAGAGATGGTTTTGATGGGGACGTCAACCGGATAATGCAACTCGAGTTTTGAATGCGTCTCTTGGATACAACACACATCGATGGCTAGGGTCTCGAGTGTAGGATCTAAACAAGCCTGTTGTCCTATAAGCATCAGAGTACGCACGCTATATGTGACTAGTTTCTTTGGGCATTAAAGACAAATAAGGACTTCAGCTGATGGAGGAATCGGTGAAATTCGGACAGTGGTCCAGATAGGACACGAGGGAACAGCGGCACCGCTTCCATCTGAGGCACTACTGTTAGTACGATCCTCTGAAGAACCCGAGCGAGCTGGTGTGTTACCGAGGTGGTGAAATGGGGGAGGGTTGGGGTGACATGAGTATCTGTATGGTGTAGATTGTTTATTGTTGAGTAAAGAAATTGTAGACCGAGGAAATTTAAGATTCGATAAATTCATCATTGTGTGCGCTGCGGGCTGTTGCAAAACACAATCACCCGGTCAAGAGTAGGTCCTGTTCGAGGGTGCACTGCAGCCTTTGTACAACCAAGCGCAGACTGCAAGGCGGCAGCGATATTCCAGATGAGCCAAAGGACAGTATTTGGTTCATTCGCCTCTTCTAGAGAACCTTGTAGCACAATAGATTTCGACAAGGGTAATGGCCATATTTATTGGCGGGCAATACTCGCCACATAACAGCGCTGTCCACAGACATTTGCG